TTTTATTGAAAAATGTGAATTTTTAAATGTGTATAACAGTTTCATAACTGTTATACTGAAACTGTTATACTCGATTTTTTTGCAGGAAATTCCTAAATCCATAATTTATGTTTTAAAAGGCGTTTTATTGAAAAATGTGAATTTTTAAATGTGTATAACAGTTTCGTAACTGTTATACTCGAAATTTTTGCAGTAAATTTCACTAGAATTACTCTATGACAACGAAATGATATTATTTTTTCATTTTTATTAACATTTCACATACGCCATATACTAAAAACAATATAAAATATAATGGAAATTGTTGGCTTTAAGTCGATTTAATTGGCTTTAGAGTTTTATTAATCAAAGTATTGGACAGCGAGCACACACAAAATGAGGGAAAATTAAAAATAAATATTGAAATTGTATTTGTGTTTCAGAGTAGAGTGTGTAAATAGCAGGTTTAATTAATATTGAGTGTCAAAAAGTTTCATTTTAGATATTTTAAATTAAATGTCCTATATCAAAGCATATATGCATGTATTTTGTATTTAAATAGTCGTTATACTAAAAAATAGTAATTTTTGACTGTGTATAACAGTTATAAAACTATCATACTGAAACTGTTATACTCAAAATTTTTGCAAAAAAATACTTAACCAATGAAAACCAACAACAAAAGTATGGTAAAAATAATTTTCAATGAAAATTTCATATAACCCACATAGCAAAACCAAATATTTGGGGCAAAAAAGCTTTTCATTTTACATATTTTGGTCCTTCATGAGCTAAATTAAAGCATGCATTGGCCGTATTTTCAAAAATACATGTTTCAATAGACGTTATATTGACAAATATTAATTTTTCAAGGTGTATAACAGTTTTTAACTGTTATACTGAAACTGTTATACTCGCAAATTTTGTAGAAAAATAAACTACCGTTCATCAAAAACATTAAAATGATAGGAAAATAAGTTTTTAGTTGTCTTTAACATACTCCACATGGCGAAATCAAATATTTGAGGGAAGATGTTTTTCATTTTTCACATTTTTGTTTTCAGTGACTTAAATTAACGCATGTATTTCTCATATTTCATAAAATTCATATTTAAATAGGTATTATCTTAAAATATATGACTTTTTTGAGATGTATAACAGTTTTAAAACTGTTATACTGAAAGTGTAATACTCAAATTTTTTGCAGAAAAATGAATTACCTTTCATCTACAACATTAAAACAATGGTAAAATAAGTTTTTAGTTGTCTTTAACATACGCCCCATGGCGAAATCAAATATTTGAGGGCAGCGGCTCTCAATTTTCGCATTTTTGTTTTCAATTACCTAAAATAGAACATGTCTTGATTATATTTCACAAAATTCATAGTTTAATAGGCGTTATATTGAAAAATATTACTTTTTTGAGGTGTATAACAGTTTTTTAACTGTTATACTGAAACTGTTATACTCGAAATTTTTGCAGAAAAATTAACTACCGTTCATCTACAACATTAAAACAATAGTAAAATAAGTTTTTAGTAATCTTTTACATGCACCACATGGTGAAATTAAATATTTGAGGGCAGCGGTTTTCTATTTTCGCATTTTTGTTTTCAATTACCTAAAATAGAACATGTCTTGATTATATTTTTCAAAATTCATAGTATAATAGGCGTTATATTGAAAAATATGACTTTTTTGAGGTGTATAACAGTTTTTTAACTGTTATACTGAAACTGTTATACTCGAAAATTTTGCAGAAAAATAAACTACAGTTGATATACAACATAAAAATAATAGTAAAATACGTTTTTAGTGATAATTCAATTACCTACATACCAAAAACCAAGTATTTGAGGGAAGATGCTTTTCATTTTACATATTTTTGTCTAATATGACCTAAATTGAAACAAGTATTGATCATATTTTTAAAAATTTATATGACAATAGGTATTACCTTGAGAAATATGAATTTTTTAAGGTGTGTAACAGTTTCAAAACTGTTATACTGAAACTGTTATACTCAAAATTTTTGCATAAAACTAATTGAATTGTTATATTACACTAAAAATTGGGAGAAAAGCATTTTAATTAATATTTTACATACAGCAATACCCCAAAAATCACCTTAAAAAGCTGTTGCGCCACTTAACGCTTCCATAAATCCCCATTACTTAATCAAGAAATAGTGCCTTCTATTTTTTTGTGAAATTACAAGAAATCAAGATTTCACACATCAAGCATGGCCATTTAGCAGCAAGACATTGCATACATTTTAGGCTGTAATCAAGAAAATTTATTGCATTCTAGTTTGGGGATCAACTTGCCTGCAAACAAGCGCAACCTAAAAGGCTACGACGAAAAAACTCCAACTAAAATTGGCATTGTTGAACTTTGTATGTGCTGTGCCTGATGCCTTCTTTTTTATTTGTGTGCCTGCTCTTATAGAACATGTGTCAACAAGCAATTTCAGGCTAATTTTGCAACGTTATTTAAGCATACTTTAGACCACTTGAAACGAAACGAACGAACGACAACGAACATAAATGGCAGCAACGGAAACATGAGTCTAATGGATGTTTATGTTTAAACGTCTAACGAATGTTGGCTTCGAGGAATGCCTTTTACGGTACATTTTCTCCGAAGCCTTCTCCTCGCCTCCACCTCGCCTTCTTCTTTGACTGTCATTCATTCAGGCTTTCTTTTGCTTTGTATCACCCAAGCGAGCAGCACATAGCTCGAACAACAATTGTAAGCTGTAACTGCAACCTGATTATCACCATCATCTGTGCCAAAGATTGGTGACAAATGATAATTGCGCCGTGTTTGCATGCAAATCATTATCAGGATAAGGCTGAAACCCCATCATTACAGAGAACAATGCAAAATAGCGAGAGAGAGAGAGAGGTGGGGGGAATTGGAAAGGAAGGCAACTATGCAAGCAATCTTTAATACTCCATCCATATGGAGCAAGCAATCTATGGATATGAAAGTTCTTTGTAATCTTTGCCACATAGCTGGATGCCAGAGCACGAAAAAAAAATGAAATGAAAGGAGAAGAGAAACAGAGAAAATATTTTCCATATTGCTGCTTGCTTATGGTACGTCGGTTACCTGAAGCCGCTAGTTCTAGTCTTTGTGTATCGTCGTCTCATCGTTTGAGCAGATTCCACTTTCAACACACATGCATGCAAATGTTTACCCCGTCATGCGAATGGGGGGATATATAAATTTTGCCTTTCTGCAAAATATTTCCTTTGTATGGAGTATATGGTAGAAGCCTTCAGTTTCTCTGCATTTGTGATGCATCATTTTTCCCTTTTGCTCCCTTCCTGTTCCCCTGAGAACTGAGAAGTGCATGGGAGGTGAGGTCACAAAACTAGGAACACATTTTGTTTGCTTTATTTTTCCAAAAGGACACAAGGCTACCTAGCAGACTATTTAAAAATGCATAACATCGCGACGGCGATGACGACGGCGATGTTGTTTACTCTATGTGGGCATTTCACTTTGGCTGTGGTGGTCTGGTTTACATGGGTCGGTCCACACCACCAGGAATGGATAGCCTTTTGTACATATTTAGGTAACCATCAAAAAGGCATTAACCATGTGTAAAAAGGAGACGACAACGACAACAAGTTGTTATGAACTTTTGCAGGAGGAGAAAAACGGTGCCATAGCTGTTGCAGCTGCAGTATTTCATGTTGTCGCCTTTGCATCACAACAAGGCAATGACATGAAGAGTTATTGCGGTATGAGCAGAAAAACAAAGAATAGTTGTTACTTTGTGACGCAGATAAAATTAAATTAAAATGTAAATAAAAATGTGTACAATGCAGTGGTGTGTGCGTCCTTTTTTATGTGTGTGTGTGTGCGGTCAACCTGGGAAAATATTCATTTTTTGTTGTTAAACAACAATAAAACAACGCCTGTAAAGTATGGGTTTTAATTTAGAGTAAAAACTGAAAACATTTAAATGCTAAAACATAAAAATCAGCTAAAATACTAAATATTTCCTTTGTATAACAGTTTTCGAACTGTTATACTGTAACTGTTATACACGTAAAAAAGTCGTAATTTCAATTAAAACACAAACATAGATAGTTATTTCCGAATTATAACAGATGTTATAACTTTTAACAAGCAATAAAAAACATTTCTGGAGTGTATAACAGTTTTAATAAAATACTATGATTATGCAAAACAAATGCATAAAACATGAAAATCTAGTAAAAAATCGATCAACTTATTTATACAACAATTTTGAAACTGTTATACTCGTCACAAACTCAAAAACACACAACTGAACAATTGTTTTAGACTGTTAACCCACATTTACAGTCAAAATTTAATTATAAGGCACTCAAAAGGCTAAAACATAAAAATCCCGTTGAAAACCAGACATTTCTTTTGAATAACAGTTTTCAATCTGTTATACTATAACTGTTATACATGCAAAAAAACGTCACAAATATGAAATAACATACTAACATAACAACAGTAACATACCTCATAACAACAGTACATATCTTATGAGTCATATGTTTTGAGGCGTATAACAGTTTATATTTTGAGTAAAAAATTATTGATTTTGCATTTTAAGTGATAAAACATAAAAATCTGGTAAAAAGTCAAACATTAAAGTAGTATAACAGTTTTCAAACTGTTATACTGTAACTGTTATACGCACAAAAAACGTCAGAAATTCAAAGACTCTTAAATGACGAATATTTCCAGAAATGTAGTAGCCTTATAATTGTTATATAGAAACTGTTATACACATAATAACTATGGAACTTGAAACCAAAAAATATTTTGAAGCACAAACTAAATAATTTAAAAAACTATTTAAATATTTTTAAACCTATTAAGTTGGTGTTATTATTAAAAACCACAAATCTCATTTGTTTTTTACAATGCACATCACTTCGTTATCGCAATTAAATTAATGTAATTAAATTTACTTCGTTTCCCATTAAAATTAATCATAAAAAAATGATAATAATAAAAAAAACCTTACATTGTTTTGATTCAGGGCATTTGTCAGCACATCATTGACGCCACTTACCTAAAATGAGACAGAAAAAAACAAGAATAACATAATTAATACATTTCATTCGAAAAATAACAAATTTATTATAAATTAATCCTAGGAAAACGCATGAAAAAAAAAAAACACCGTTGTAATTAAATACAATTTGCCAGGGGTAATATGGAAACCCTAACAACAAGAGGATTCAAAGGAAAGTATGGATTTCTAAACAAGAAAACAACAAGGTTGATTGAGCAAAAAGGACATGAATATCATCATCATTGACCTTATTATGTATTTTTTTTTTTTTTTTTTTTTCGAATCAACCCTAATTAAAAGGACATCAATTATTAGGTAACTAAATGTCAGGTTTTGTGTTCTAACAAGGGTGTATTGTTCGGGGTTTTACCTTTTTGTTCATCTACCATAGAGAGAAAGTAGCTTTTTTGTGAATTTCTCCCCCCAAATAAATAGAAATTTTGAAATACCAAACGATATGCCTTGTTTAATTTGTGTGTGAAAGATTTTGAACAAAAGGATTAAAAGAAAAATAAAAACATTTTGGTAGGTTCTATGAAAACCCACAAAAAACAAGATGTTATTTTATGCATAATAAGCAGAAAGGGTGAAATGCATTTTACCATAACGTTAGGTTATAAGAGTGTTTAGTATGAAAGAGGGTTCAGTATGAAAGACCATAGCTAATTACTCTGAATCATGTTAAGTTGGTCTTATATCACAAACAACTGTAGAGAGAGTCGTGTTAAATTGCTGTCATTGAAATGAAAATGGGAAAAATTTAGGAAAAAATAAATTTTTCCGTTGTATAACACTTTTGGAACTGTTATACTAAACTGTTATACACTGTAAAATGTTAAAAATTAGAAATAATTGAAGAAAATTTGGATTTTGCATGAGTATAACACTTTCTAAACTGTTATACAAAACTGTTATACTCAAAAAAATCTACTTCGAACAGTCAAACTTGAATTTGAAATTTAAAATATACAATTTTTTCATGAAACTTACTTTTTAAACTGTTATACAAAATTGTTATAGTCGCATTTAACAGCTGAGAATTATAGAAAAAGAGGAATATTTCCTCAAAATACATAAAAAAAGGGCACTAAACTGTTATACACTGTAAAACGAAAACTTTGGTCTTACATTTGTATAACACTTAATAAACTGTTATACTCGCATTTAACGCCTGAGAGTTATGAAAATTTCCTAAAATACATAAAAACGACACTAAAATGTTATACAATGTAAAATCTTTAGAATTCCAAATGATCTAAAAAAATTGGGTTTTGCATTGGTATAACACTTTTCAAACTGTTATACTCAACTAAACCTGATTTGAATCGTCAAAGTTGAATTCGGTATTGAAAATATGTATATATTCCATGAAATATCGTATTTAAACTGTTATACAAAACTGTTATACTCGCTTTTAACAGCTGAAAATTATAGAAAAAGAGGTTCTAGGCAATATTTTCCCAAAATATGTGAAAATTGGGACTGGGTACATTTTTTAAACTGTTATACAAAACTGTTATACTCAACTAAACCTGCTTCGAATCGTCAAACTTGAATTTGGAATTGAAATATATCTTTATTCCATGGAATATCGCTCCTAAAACTGTTATACAGACCTGTTATACTCGCATTTACCAGCTGAGAATTACAGAAAAAGGCGTTTAGACAATATTTCCCCCAAAATACATAAAAAATATATTTATGAATGATGTACTATGAATGATATTTTATCGAACTTATGTTTATAGCCTTTAATGAAAAACAGGAAAATTTATTATATACATTTTAAGGATACATCACATTTATGTTGCTCTTTGCAAACTATAACATCATGTTTTTTCCCAGAAACCACCACCATATATGGAAATCCCTCCCCCAACAAAACTATATCCAGCATAAGCCATAACATGGTAACGACAAAAAAATGACAATATCCATCAAAAGGAAATTTACATTTTTATTACCAAACTACAACATCAATGTCTCGCATGTCGCCACAACAAATAGATATTTCAATTTATGTTTTATCTACCGAAAAAGGGATAGATGGATAACAAACATTTGAAAAAGGTAAGGCAACAAAGTAGAAATAAAAAAAGGAAACTAGTCCCACGACAATTATTTCTTATTCAAACATTTTAAGAAAATTGCTATCTCTGTGAGAAAATAAAGTTGAATGCGACAGTGAAAAGTCCACAAGGATAACAACCAACCAGACCAGAATGAGAAATCATGAAATAAAATGAGAAAAACAAACAAGGAAACTCCTTTTTTCTCCCTCTCCATCCGGAGTTTATGATACACTCTAAAAGCCTCCGTGGAGAGACACATCTGGATGCTTATATTTTATTTACTATTGCGTTGGGATTTACTGTTATCACTCGTAAGCCGGTACTTATACATATTTTCCTTCTTACAATATTGTCAACAACATTACGACTTAAAGGTAAGAGACAGAGGTGAGGAGGAGGAGGAGAAAAACAAAGATGTTTTTCCACTCCTCCTAAAAACATGAGAAAAAAAGGATGTCTTACACAAAAATAAATATTGGTAATTTCTTATTGATCGCAAGGATTATCCTTTATATTGTTATGGAGAACACAAAGAAACACACACATACACACCCAACTAAAGTACGATTAAGAACACCTTAAGAAACACAAAAGACAACATGGTTTTTTTTTTCTTCTTTACAAAAGTGGATCTAAAAGGACTTAGGGATTTTGGACATACAAAAAAAAAAAAAAAAGATTCTAGATTGAATATAAAAGAAAACAAATTGTTTGGGAAATGAAACGAAAAAAAAAACATATTTTATGTTGAAAAGAAAATATCCCATTTTGTTGTGTTGCCTTTTCGGATAAGACAATAATGAATGTAGATATTGACTTTTAAAAGGACATCACTTTCGACCCAAAAGTATTACAGCAATTGGGGTTTGTTGTTCGTACCCAAAACTATTTATTTTATTGTCGGCAATTTTGGGGCTCATTTCACTTGAGTTTTTTTTCTTTTGGATAAAATAAGGATAAGTCTAAAGGGAAGGAGAGGGGGAGGGGTCCTTTGTCTTAAAAGGTCAACAAGTTGCCTGCAAGAAATTATGTAAAAATTAGAATTAAATAAAATATAAAAAGATTTACTTAAAAAATGTATAAGACTAAAGTTTTTAAAATATTGAATAACAAAAAGGAAGAAATCATAATTTTAACCACTTTCGGTTGGCATACACATTTAATGAAACTTCAAATAAGTTTCAAAATTTTAATATTAAGATCGTATAACAGTTTTGAAACTGTATTATACTGTTAAATAATACCAGAATTATTATTAAAGCATAAAAAATGTAAGTTATAGAAGTTGTTCTATGTTTGTTTGAATTTGTTCTATGTTTACGGAAAACTAGAAAAGGATGCAAGGACGAAGTCATATCCTGCCTGGTTTTTATTTTAAGTACATCGTATAACTACATTTATTGCAAAAAATTTTAAAGAAAGGAGCAAATTAGCTCTAAAATATAATTTTTACTTTGTATAACAGTTTTGAAACTGTTATACCAAACTGTTATACAACCAAAAATTAGCTCAAAATCGTTATGTAAATGTGCCAAGTTGTGTTTTGCGAGATTTTCGTAAAAATTGTACCCATTGTATTTTATAGATATAGAAAATATGACAAAGAAAACCCAGAGGATAATGGAATATCTGGCATATTTCTCAGACAAATCAAGTGTAGGAAGGGTTAGATATTTCAATTGGAACGGTTAAGCAAATACAGTAAAATTGGGGAAATTTCGGTAGATTTGCGTAAATTGTTGAAAAAAAAAATCGGGGACCTGAATAGGCTATGAAATAACTTTTTTTAAACAAAGTACCCATCAAATTGCCTTCAGATACAGCAAAAGTGTTATAATATAAAATATTGTGTCAAATCTGTGATATTTTTCAACTCAATCTGTTGCAACTTTTGTTATGTGTCCCAAATTGGATTCACAAGTTAAAGATCCTTTAAAAATTACATTTTCAGGTTGTATAACAGTTTCGAATATGTTATAAAAAACTGTTATACTTCACGAAATGTACTTAGGAATGTGGCACAAATTGCCTTGGGGCATATTTGAAACAAAAACTCCCCAATTTTAATTAAAAAATGCTGATCAAATTACACAAAAACACACAAAACTGTTATAAAGACAAGGAATGCGGAAATTCGGTTACTGTTTACAGACAATTCTTTATAAGGCTTGGTTTTTGTGAATAAAATTCGTTTAAAGCTTCATTTACAATAAAATACCACAGTTTAAAGGTGTATAACAGTTTCGAAAGTGTTATACAAAACTGTTATACTGCAGAAAATGTACTTACAAAAGTGACAGAAACTGTCTTAGACACATCAAGAACGTTTTCGAAACAAAAATATAATTTTTATCTAAAACAATGCCCATGGAATGGTACAAAATATGTATAAAACTGTTATACAGCCAAGGAAAGGGAAATTTTGGTTAAATTTAAGATACCAATATGTTAGAAGACTTGATTTTTAGGTATTTACAATAAAAGACTCCAGTTTCAGGTTATATAACAGTTTCGAAAGTGTTATACAAAACTGTTATACTTCACCAAATGTGATTGGAAATGTGACAAAATTGTTTTAGATATCTTTAGGATGTATTTGAACAGAAAAACTTTCCATAAAATGCGATTAATTTAAAACGTAACTGTTATACAACTACGGATGATGAAAAAACTGTAATATATTGTAGCAACAAATTACATATTGCAATTTTTTCGACAGAAAATTCGTTCCATGTGATACTACATTCCTTTAAATGTGCAATTTTGAAACTGTATAACAGTTTTAGATGTTTAATGCAAAACTGTTTTAAAATATATACAATTTTAGAAAGTTTTCAAATGTTGGCTACGCAATTTTAAAAAAGATTATAACCCATGTTGTAAGCCTCAAATTAGTTTCCATGTAAAATTTACATTAAAAATGTT